TTATTATTATTATTATTATTATTATTATTATTATTATTATTATTATTATTATTATTATTATTATTCAGCATCAGCATTATCAAAAGAGGATGGGAGGAGGAGAGCAGCTGTAACTCAAAGTTGCCTCCAGCAGGTCCAAGACAGAATTCTTCTTTGGGAATATTTTGAATGGTGATTAGTCAAGTGGGAGCTTCATCTCTGCAGGATTTTAAGAAGAGATTGGACAGCCACAGTGGTATAGGGTTTCTTGCTTGAACAGTGGGTTGGACTAGAAGACCTCCAAGTTCCCTTTCAACTCTGTTATTCTGTTACACTGTTCAAGTAAACATAACATGCCTATTGGAAGCTTATACTTTTTTTTAAAAAAAAAAGTATAAAATATATTGGTGCCTATGTTATAATGTAGAAGTTTGGAAGTAGTTCGGAGGTGGAATCCTTAGAGCACAGGTGTCAAACTCGCCACGTCACGTTGCCATCATGTGATGCATCGTGATGTTTTTTTCCCCTTAGCGGAGCTGGGGTGGGTGTGGCCTGCGTGTGATACATCCAGTCCATGGGGCCACCAGTTTGACACCCCTGCCTTAGAGCCTCTGGAAACAGTAAAAGAGAGGCTTGAAATTTGTATTTACCTTCCATGTCATTGGTTTCATACATGCCTGTGTTAGACTATGGGTCAGAATCCTGTTCAATCTAAGGCCTTTCAAATTAATTTATACCTTATTACTTGAAAGAAAATGATTTTTAACTTACAGCATAGCTACCTGGAATTAAATATGAGCCCATCTTGATCCTCTCTGTGCAAATAAGAAGTTAAGCTCCTTCTTACTGCCAGAATCTAAGCCCTGTTTGAAACCAGCTACTAGATCCAATTTGCATCTCTGAAAAAGTGAATCCTGGTGACCGAGGCCACATTGTGTTTGTCTCTGGCTCTGCAATCACTCTACTGGTATCTGTATGAAATATCCCATACTAGGTGAGATATATCAAAATGAAAAAAAAAATCTGATCTAAGCAACAAGTTAGTAAGAGGATATGATCAAACCTGTATCTTTAAAAAAAGAAGGTAGTCTATACCTTATTATATTCATTTTTTTCTACTCTTAACTTGAAAGCATTTATTGCATTACTTATTCTTTTTTTTCTGAATCACTCAGAAGTCAGGAAAGCTTTTATATCCCACAGTTCAAAATGTATACCCTAGGAATCCTTTTTATCTTAAAGAAACAGGCTCCTTGCAGCCACCGTGTCAGATAGGATTGTTCTACAAAGCAACAGCTCTGGAATTCAGTTCAAGAAAGTTATTTCCTAACAAGCTATTTTATTACAATTTTTTTGGCTACTTTGCAAGATAAGGCAGCTACATTGTGAAGTTTGATGCAGACTTTCCGTATAGCCGACAGGGTTCCTGGGATCTAATTTGGAAAGGGTTGTGGTAGATTGCGATCTATTGGTAGGATATTAAATGTTTTATGGAGGAAAACAATGTGTTCTATTTTTCTGTGTTTTCTTAACAATGGCAACAAAAACCTCTTCTTAAATAGTCTATTAGATTCTCTGATCCATAATAATTCACTGATAGAGTTGTATTAATATATGAGTCATTCGAGTGTATGGCTGAAGCGCGTAGGGCGTAGTTGAATTAATTTCCTGAGCTAACATTTTGTGGATCTCAATCTTAGTTAAATAGGATCCACAACAATGTAAATCTTATACTTTTGAAGTCTGCACTCTCACCTTAGAGATGCCTTCTTCAATCCAGGTGCTTCAAGGTGCTTTGTCATACAGTTCCTATCATGAATGAAAGTGAATATACAGTACACGTCCCAGGATAATGTTACAGGATCTAATCTGGTTTTGGGACCAGAGGTTTAGTCTAGCTGTTCCCTGTCTGTTAGTAATGCTGATTGCAACTGAAGGAAGTAAGCTGCAGTGCCTAGAAAGTGTTGGTTGAGGAAGTCTGGGAATTGAAATTGAAGCTCACGGTCACTGAGGTTGACTTTAAACACTGATTTAGATAATTCTTCCAGCACTATAAAGGGTTTAAGGTTTAAGGCAAAGGACATGGTAGCGTCTCATACTATTTCCAAAGCAGAAGCTAATCTAGACTAAGAGTTGGTTTTTCTTTTAGAACCAGTGATGGGATAGCATCCTGCATCTCTCACTTTAATTGATCTCAGGGACAAGGGCTAAACTGTCTGGAACAGAGAGTTTGACCTTCAAACAAAGACTGATGTTTATGATGCTGTTGATAAATGTTTATGGAGATTCTCGGTCATCCAGGTCATGGTTGTCCCAAATATGTTTTTTTGAAAAAGCAACTGGACTTGGTTTTTTCTTGAAGATGTTTTGCTTTTTATTCAAGAAGCATCCTCAGAACTGAAGAAGCTTCTTGAATGAGAAGAAAAATGTCTTCAAAAAAACAACAACCCCAAAGTCCAGTTGCCTTTTCAAACAGCATCTTTGGGATGTTGTTGATAATATCGCTTCCATGCCACCCAATATCCAAAGTCATCATCTCATTCTGGCTAACAATAAATAGAACTAGCCTTTTCATGATCCCAGTGACTTGTAGCCCCATGGAGATGCATGTATATTTTACGACATTTGTCTTACACATGTCAAAGCTTCATTCTTTGGCTTCAAATTATTTACATTTTATTTGCTCTGATTGGAAGATTCTATAATATACTGTCAATGTTCAAGCCAATATATGAGAGGGTAGATTCTTTGAAGAGGGAAACAAAATCAGTAATTCCCTTTTCATAATACCAAATAAATAACGAAGAGGTTCTGTCCAATGCTGCTAACAAGATTCCTGTCTTCACTCCATAAATAAATATTGAAAACTCAAGATTCAAAAGGATTAAGGCTTCCTATTGTTACACGGCTATTATTCTGAAAAAGTTCTTTTAAAACCACAGATGTACAAAAGTTCTGGTTCATATCTTGGACCTTCTTCAGTTCAGAATTAATCACCAGCAATTATCTGTGAACAATTTTGAGAGGGGAAGTTGAGAAAAGAGAAAACAAATCCTTTCAGAAAATTTTTAGTATCTTTGTTCCACTTTGGTGAATAATATGGTGGCTTCTAAAATCCTTAAGCTTCAAATACATTTTGAAGTAAACTAACAATTGAGAAAGACATTCGTAAGCATCTTCTTTGTCATTTGTTTATTTTGCTCTGCTTAAAGTGTCACAGTGTCATGGAAACACAGAGAAAAGTATTTTCCCCAACAGGCTATAGCTGGAAACTGATCATTCTGAATAATGTTAAATGTTTGTTCCATACAATCACAAATCTGTAAGATTTAAATTGGTAAATATTTGATAAATTATCAAATGCTGAAGGTAATTTATAAGCTAGAAATTATATAATTATAATATAATTATATAATTATGTAATCATAGCAGTTAAGCTTTACCATAAAACTAAGGAAAGCAAGAGCAAAGCAATTCCACTCAAATAAGCCAGTGTCTGTGGAGAGGAGATTATGTGTCAGAAAAGCCAAGATGGCGGCAATGTCTGCATGACTGAGCCCCATCCCTTTTGTATGTGTGGCAATCACCTGCATGTACAAAGAGGTGGAGCTTCTGCTATATACTCACATCCACTACCTTGACATTTTTGACTTGGTCTTGCTGGCCTTCTCAAATTTGCCCTACTCTTGACCCCTTGAAATGATCGATAAATTTGTGCAAAGCCTTCCCCCTCCTCCCCTGAATAAAACTAGTGATTTATTTAGTTGAGGTTAAGATGGAATCAGAAATAAAACTACTACAGTAGTCCTTGATTTATGACCACACTTGAGCCCAACATTTCTGTTGCTAAGTGAGACCACGATTAAGTGAATTTTGTCCCATTTTATGACCTCTCGTGCAACAATTGTGAAGTGAATCACCGCAGTTGTTAAGTTAGTAACATGGTTGTTAAGTGAATCAGGCATCCCCATTGACTTTGATTGTCAAAAGATTGCAAAGGCGATCACTTGACCCCAGGACACTGCGACTGTCATAAATATGAGCAAGCTGCCAAGCATATGAATTTTGATCACATGACCACGGGGATGCTGCAATGGTTGTAAGTGTGAAAAACCAGTCATAAGACACTTTTTTTTTCAATGCCATTGTAACTTTGAACAATCACTAAATGTACTATTGTAAGTTGAGGGTTACCTGCACTTCCTTTTACTATTTCAAGGCTTCTCAAACATTGTGGATGGGCTCATGCAGGCTAAGCATGGAGTAAATTTTGAGAGTGCTGAACCTTTATCTGTGCAAGCCTAAACAGTTTAAGCCATGGGTCTTCAAACTTGGCAAATTTATGACTTGTGGACTTCAACTCCCAGAATTCCTGAGCTAACACGACTGGAGGAGGAATTCTGGGAGTTGAAGTCCACAAGTCTTAAAACTGTCAAGTTTGAAGACCCCCTGGTTTAAGCTAATCATGAGCCCTGAGTTCTCACAACCCATAGTGAGCCCTGAACTAAGCTTTGAATGAAGCCTGAAAAAGAATGATAGAACATCCAGAAAGTTCTAAAATCACCATGGTGCCAGATTGTCTTCCCTCCTGATCAATAAGGGGGAAGCCAATCTTTTTTTTTTCCCCCTTTGGAAAGCAATTGCAGGATTGGGACGCTGTTGTTTTTGGGAAAGCTCTGCTTTGAGTATCCACAACCTCCCTTCCTGGGCAGTAGAAGAACCAAAGGAATTGATTCCAAGGCTGCCATGACAAGTTTGACAAAAGTCA